TTAGTCCCCTTCAAAGTACTCTTGTTGGGACTTCACATCCTTATCTAAGCACCTCTTGCACTTTTCAAAACAATTTGCTAAGTTCACCTTGTTGCATTCTCCTTAATCTCGTGCACAGTAAGAAATCTCTTCCCATTTGATGGAAATTTGAGTTTAAAGGGAAAACTAAAGTCACTAAAAAGTAAAGATGAACAGTTGGGGTGCAATGGCTTACTGACCTGGGGAATACAAGGTTTTTCAGAATAAAAAACCTTGCACAAAATGTCATTGCTAATGTGACACTCATGCAATACAGAGGTTTATTCATAGGAAAGTTCATTTACACATGTGCAGTAAGGTCCCCCTCTGATTTATTGCCAAGTTACATCAAGGTCACACAACTGGTCAGCAGGATGTTCAAAATAGCCAGGTGCTTTCCAGAGAGACCTTGTTTGTCTTATAAGGTTACAATAGTGGGGCACCAAATGAGAACAGAACTCACTAAAAATGGACTGTAGGATTTGTATAATAAACAGTTACCTTTTCTTGCAAGCTCAGTCAATATTATTTTCATATTTATTTATTAAGAATCAGTTACAAACTTAGATCAAAGTTAAGGTTCAAAAACAAAGTATATTTATTTTTTGATATTTTTCTCATTTAAAAAAGAAATTGATCTATTTTATTTCTTTTTGGATGCTTGATAAAGATAACTTTTTTTTTGCTTTCTACATTTGCTTTGGAACAGATAAAACAAATGTACACTTGTATTCTTCTATTAACATTTACACTAGTGCCAAAAAAAAATACAGTTAAGTAGATTATTTTTACCACCTCCACTTCTAGAAATGAACTCAGCTGGATAACATATGTGATGTAATAGGTAAAGAGGTAGTGTAGCTGTGACAGCCATAAGACATGAACAGTATTTAGGAGATTGACAGTCGTATGATTGCTGAAGCCAGAAAGATAGGGCAATCTATCTGGGAGGTGTTTCTACTTGAATGTTTTCATATTTGGAATATGCAAATTTCAGACTTTGGTAGCAAGTGCGGTTAATGCAGGAACGAGAATGCTGATGACTGACAACGATAATAACGGCACAATAAATGGGAACATTACATCAAATCACATTGTTGCTGCTCTAGTTCATCAGTCAATGCACTGTACAGTATTCACTGTATTCTCTTAGGTGTTGTAGTTGTCAACCAGCAAGACTACTATTATTCACATCATGGCACCTTATGTTGGCCAGAGTTTTTTACCAATCAACTGTGGAAAACTGGCAACATTTCACTTGGTCAGACAAGTTACATTTCCTGAAGGGAAATGATACACAGAAGAAGTGTACTCAGACACCTGAATAAGGCTGGACAGTACACCAGCCAGAACAATGTGAGTGATTAATATAATGTAGATGTGGCAGCCATGAAACACAGACAGGGTATAACTCTGTTTAATCATAGAGTATCTGGCCTTAACAATAACTCTGTGTCAGAGATAACAACTGCTTTTGGGTTTTCTTATCCAACAGCAGTTGGGCTATACCAGGAATATATAAATTTCAGGCAGATTTCAGCAGTTAATGTAGGAACAGTGACTGACAAGGATGATAAATGCCTAACAAAGGTGAACTGTGCAGCTTCATCATTGCACTGTATACTGCATTCTATTGGGTTTTGTAGTTGTCAACCAACAAGAGCACAATTATTGACATTATAGCTTCAGTTACTATGCTTCACCTGGACTAGGCAACACTACCACTGTCTGTGTTGCCAGGTTAGATAGCTTGTGTTTTTAGGTTTTTCAGACAGACAATTGAGTGAAACAGATTGCATGAACCTATAGATACACAGTGTTAGCTATGTGCTGGTGATTGCTCTGAAATGGTGTGAGCTATGTTTTGTTGGTGCTTGCAAAGACCAGGAATGAAACTGGAATCTTACTTGACAGGCTTGACATTCATATATCTTGTTACAGATCAGATGCACTTGTTTATGTTTGCCATGTTCTCTTGATGAGGATATGTTCCAGCAAGATAATACAACTTTCCATTGTGTGCAGTATACATGAAACTGGTCTTAGGAGCACTCTGATGACTTCCAAGTACTCCAATGGCCTACATCCTCACCATATTTAAACCCCATTGAGCATTTGTTTCAGACTTCACTAAATTCCATACAGTCATATCCAATAAATACAACTACATCATAGCTAACCCTGGAATCTGCCTGAATAGGCAGACTTGCACAATTTGTAGATTCTAGGCTACCTTACGTAGCTGCTGTTATTCAAGTGAAGGGAGGAGGTGCTACACATTAGGTTGCTGTCTCTAATTTTGGATTTCATGTTACTAATCTCTGTCTTATCTGCTTGCCAGAATGTGAAATTAATATCCTTCAAGCTTTTTTAACCATGTATTTAATATATACTCTTTTTTTTCTCAAATAAGTTGAAAATATGTTTTAATTTTTATTGATAATTTTTAACATTTTGTTTTTATTTTTCTGACTAACAAAATATTACCATTTTTACTGTAGCATTTCTTTTTTTACTTACAATACTTTTCTCAAATGACTCTATTATCCAAACAATGCTTGAAATATATGCATTTTCTTTAAAGAAAAAAACAAACTTTGTAGCAGTGTGCTGGTCTTGAGCTAAACTTTGCTTGTTTCAAGATCAAAAATTAAATAATTTATCAGCTTATACAAGTTGAGAATGATTTTATCTTTATTCATAATTCTGTTGCTCTTTTATAAAATAATTATTTTGTAAAATTAAACATGGTGAATCCAGCATCTTTTGATCCTATTAAACCAAGTTTGTTCAGGAAAAGACCAAACAACGACTTTAAGCTTTTTATATTTAACAAGAATTATTTTTTGTAATTTTCTCCAGTCCCACTACAAAGAGTGTCTACCTACACAGCAAAACAGTTTGGGGTTTTCATACATTTCTATGGATTGTTTCTTACCAAACAAATTCATTTAAAACATTTTGAATTGATATTAGCAATCAGTTTATTTTTTATTTCCACAAATTGAAAATCTATCAATATAAAGCTAGGATTGTTTGCTTTCATGTACATTGTAGTCAGCTAAATGGCTGGGTCCTGGGGACTGAATATTAGTCTTTAAGAGTAACTTGACTTTGAGGATGAACATGGTTCAGTTGGTGCTAACCTTCAAGAGTCACTAAAGGGTCAAAACTGTTATTTCCAGTCCAGCTATGAAAAGGGATATTAGTTTCCTTAGCACTTCATAAATTGGAAATATCCTAATGGTAGTCATATCTGTAAAACAAAAACAAAAAACAATGTAGAGATGGGCATGGAAAATGAAATTAGCAGCAGAGTTTAAACTTTAAGATAATCTGTGTTCATTTCACAGATGCTTTTGGGAATATTTTTGGGAAAATAAAAATTATTTGAAAGAAAACTTTGGTATTTTTCTTAATCAATTTTCTACGACTACCAAGAAATTGATTTATGGACTTGATTAAAACAAAAATAAACAGACATAGTATGTCTAAATTATTTAACCAGACCTGTTTAAATGAAAATATGCTGCCTAAATACACAAATCTAAACGCACACATGCACACACATTATATATATATATATATATATATATATATATATATATATATATATATATATATTTAACCTTTCTTTATTTAAATAATGAGATGTTTTGATTGATTTCTTTAACTCATCATCAGTTGTATGACCAGATGTGGTCAAAGGGTTTCTGCATTGCTGAGAACCTATCATATTCCTTACATACAAATAGACCTGGTGGATCCTGTCTCTCTCCATGTTAAACCACAAATGATGTCCACCAACTTGAAGGCTTACTTTGGCCATGAAAACATGGCAACTAATTCCTTTGAGGGAACCCTCCATCTTGGGCATTGACTTCAGTCTAGGAAGCCCACAACAATGATGTATCATCAGCTCACTGGCTGCATGCTACCCCAAATGCTAGACATTTGTTGATCTTAAAAAAAAGAAAAAAAGTTCATCCACCCTGGTGGGGGAACCAGTTTAGTTGCCTATTACCTGATCATGTAGCAGGTAGTATTAGGTTAAATGATACTGTAGTTCTCATAGTGTGACCAGAAATCTCTAAATAATTCAGCATTTTCTAATTATTTTGAAAATAGTTAAGACTAGTAATTCTGCTCAAGATATAAACAACTCCACAGATTCTTTATTTTGGTCATGTTTTTCTTAGCAGATTATTTTACAACTTCAAATCTCTTTTTAAAATAATTTCAGTTTTACACTTGAACATATATAAATTTCTTTATTTCATACTCAAAATCATTTATAATTTATCTTACAAAAGTAAAACTTTATGAATTTGTTATCACATCATTCTGCATTTTCTTCTTGGTTGATTCAGTATTGAAAGATGTGTGTGTGTTTTATAACAATAATATTTGTAGAATTGCAAATTTGAAAAATGTACTTGGATATCTAAAAAGTTGCATTGTTTTGTGAAAGAGCTTAAATTTTGAACACTATTTTCTTTCTTTTTCTTTCTCCCTTTTACTAAGGAAGACAAATATGTATTATTCTCTGGGGATTCAAAATTTAACTGAAACTGTATAATTATTTCCATCAATTGCTTTTTGAAAGTAAATCTTGAAACTTATACAAATAGACTTAATAACATCTGTACAAATTAATAAGAAATAAAATAATACTCTTAATATGCAATTTATGTGTGGATTTTATCTAATTTTTCTCAGTAATATTTTTTAGCCATCATTAAATAAACTAACATTGCTGTTTTAGATTTGACTTTAATTTCATGAAATAAATGCTGCTTCCAAGGATACTTGTTTTATTTTGAGTAACTTTACCTTTCAAGATTGATAAAGTATTATCAAGTAAAAAAAATATGTAAGAACAAATAAATAGTGAATGTTGTGGGGAGTTATATTTTCATTCCTCAGGATTTCTCTACAATTTCTTTGAGAGCTTATTCTTTCTTGTTAGTTATAATCAGAAGATGGTTACCATCATTGTAAGTGCAATTAGTATAATGGCTTAAGGTGCTAGTCAGAGGTTGTTATACTGAAAAGGGAATTTTTCATTAAAAATTAATTTTATATCTTCAAACAAAATGACAGCTAAGTCTATTGTATGTATTTTGATGTTTATTTGTTTACTTTCTGTAATGTGCTTCATTTCCTTACCTTTATTCATGTTAACAGACTTTGCTTTATTATCTATTGAGTGGCAAAGTTTTGTGGATTGCTTTTGCTTGTATGATTAAAATTTACAGCATATCATTTTTTAACATTACTGGTAATACATATGTTTACTTGATTACCATGAATATCCCATCTATTCAAGCACCATTTCTTTTTAGCCTCTTCTTTCACTGAATGACAACAGTTTAAAGTCTGTAATATATATATATATATATATATATATATATATATATATATGAGAAAAGTAATTGTTTATTATACATTTTCAGACCCTTTAATGTACAATCCTCAAATTTGGTATGTTTAAACTCAGGAGAAGGTAATTAACTTTAAAAAAAAATTAGTTCTTATGAGGAAAGGGAGTGTCTACATCTCTTCTTTTATATGGATTTATTTTTCTTAGTAACAATTACCATTGATAACCATTTGGTGTAAGGCTATATTTTTTTTATTATCAATGGTTAGACAACAGAAATATTTGTATACTGTGAAAAAGTATTTTTGTAGAACAATTTTTTCCTGCAAAATATATTTTTGACATTTCATAGTACTTCTTCATTGGCAACTTACCAAGAAAAATGATTTTTGTTTAGGTACTAATTTCTTAAAATAAAACCTGAGGACACAAATAATAGCAATAATACATTTTTAATTGATGAAATAAGATTATAGAATAGACATTTTTAGACATATATTTTATTTTTTTCACCTTAGTATAAAGAGGTGCTGAAAAGTTCCCTGATTTCTAATGTTTAGTCATTTGGTCAGATTTTAGGAAGTGGATCAGGCTGATAATTTTTCAGTATCCTCCCTCACCCCCATATAAGAACTTATGCAGAGAAAATTTAAAACAAAGTTATACTTGTAGTAATAATTTAATCAGTTTTGTATAATTTGTTATACTTAGTAAAATGTTTGATCCAAGTTGTGACCTCTTGCTTGGCTACTTCACCAAGGGTAGATTATTTATGACAAAACAAAGGCTTTTTCTTTCCATGACTTCTTTGACCATGCCTTTCTATGCCGTGTCTTTTCAGCAAAATTTCATCTCTCTCTCTTTTATACTTTTAAGTTTGCTAACCATAAGGTACTAAATGAAGCAACCTTCTACTCCACCTGTTATCTTTTATTTTTTGCTATCTGTCTCATCCACCTCCATTTCTGCTATTTAATCACTTCCATATCTCTCTCTCTCAGTGCACTCCCTAGAATTGTTCTTTTCTGTTGATCTTTGTGCATTTTTCACTTTGTTTTCAATCAATTTTGTTAATTTCCTTGTTTTTCACCTATACATTATAGCATGCAATATACAGGGGTTGGACAAAATAATTGAAACACTTGTTAAATTCAAAGAAAACTTATTTAATATGAAGTTGGTCCTTCTTTAGCCTCACATACAGCTTTAATACGTCTAGGAATGCAATCATACAGCTTCCTGACTTCATCCAGAGGAATTTTCAGCCATTCTTCCATTAACACCTGCTCTAGCTCTTAAGACACCAAATGTTCAATAATATTGATATCTTGAGATTGGGGAGGCCACTCAATGTGTTCTAACTCACTTTCATACTCTTCATACCAATTCTTAACCACTTGAGCGGTATGTATTGGAGCATTATCATCTTGGAAGATGCAATCACCATCAGAGAATAAAGTCTGGGCCATTAGATGAACATGATCTCCCAAAATGTTCAGGTAATCTTTGCTGTTAATTCTACCATGCAGGGCAACTATTGGACCGAGACATTTCCATCATAAAGCGGCCCAAACTATCACTGATCCACCTTCATTGTTGGAAGAAGGCAGTCAGGGTTATAAGCTTCTTTGGGCTGCCTCCATACATAAACTTGTCCTGAAGTTGGGAAAAGAGAAACTGGACTCATCTGAGAATATGACTTCCATTGGTCTGCAGACCAGGCATTGTGATTTCTGCACCATTTCAACCTTTTCTGAATGTTGCAAATGGAGAGAAGAGGTTTCCTTACAGCAGCTCTTCCATGATATGCAGCTTTATGGAGCTCATGACGAACAGTTTTAGTAGAAACTGGACTATTCAGATGATTATTCAACTCGGCAGTCACTTTGGCCACAGTAGTCTGATGATTTTTTGCCATATTGCATTTCAGTGCACGTCGCTCCCTATCAGTAAGTTTGCAAGTCCGGCCCAAATTGCTACGGTTGCTAGAGGTTTTGCCCTGTTGCTTGAATTGCATCATAGTTCTTGATATGGTATCTCTTGAAAAACCAAGCAGTTTAGCAACCTTAGTGATCAAGGCTCCTGCCATGCAATCTCCAACAATTTGCCCTTTTTTGAGAGGTCACGCATTTAGCTTTAATTTTACTAAATTCTAAATATAAATAAGACAAAGACAGTAAATTAGATAAATAAACCTATTTAAAATAGATATAACCTGCAATTATGAAGTTTTAGTTAAAGTTCTTAATATAATGTCTTTGAAATATAGGAGTGGAATTTGCACCTGGTCCTATTATTTTGTCCAAGCCCTGTATGTTCATATTATGTTTTAAGCATATTGGCAAAATGCATTTCATTATTTGTCTCTCTTTGTTAAATGCTTTTCACCCTATCATTTATTCCTTAGGTGAATGGTTGATTTCTTATTGTCCAATTAAATATTTTTTTAATCAAGGACACAAGGATTTACCAAATGAGAAAGAAAACATGATTGATATATTTAAAATATTTAACATCCAGGATAGTGACTTGTGCCTTCTCAGGCTAAGGAGAAAAACTAAATCAATTTCTAGGTCTCCTGCTTGGAAAGTTGGTTCTATGTGTCATGCTAGACAATTTTTCTCACCTGAATCTATCTTACATATTTACAAGTCTACCATTCATCCTTGCTTAGAATATTGCTGCTACATATGGTCTGGTGCTCTGGCTGTATATTTAGAAATTCTTGATAAAATCCCAAGATGAATCTGCAATGTTATCAGTCCTGTCCTGGCATCTCAGCTTCAGTCCCTTTCCCAATGCCGTAAGGTAGCTTCCCTGTGCCTTTTCTATAAATACTTTCATGGTAATTGTTCTGATGAACTTTGTTCTATGGTAACTAGACTTTATAAAATTAAGTGCAGTACTAGATTGGCGGTAAGGTTTCATCATTTTACAGTTGAAATGGCTGCTAGATTTAACCATGTTATATTCTAATAGTTTCTTCTCTCACATTTCACACTTGTTGAACTCCCTTCCAACTTCTTGCTTTCCTGTCACCTTTATCTTCAAAAATTTAAATGCAATGTCAATTGTTATCTTCTGTCTTCTTAATTCCTGTTCTTTTATTGTTTTCTCTCCTTAATGGTTTTTTTCCCCATATTCTCTCAAACTTGGTAACGCCCTTGCATCTTAATGGCTTTATTACCTTTCTTGGGGTGAAATGATTTTGTGTGTGTGTGTATATATATATATATATATATATATATATATATATCTTTTGTAGAAAAAAGAATGCTGGCTATATAAGAAAAAATAAGGTATTGATCTTTTATGATAATTTGGTTTTCTTTTAGATTTTGGTATTTATCGGTCAGACAATTCTCTTTATAATTAGACTTGATAATCCTGGTCCACAGAGTACAAAAAAAAAAAATTTGCTTCATTTCAAAACAAATACTCAACATCTACAATGCTTAAAGAATGAAATAGTTTCTTATCTCAAAGTCATAAGTATTCGCAATACTATTTTCTTTTCAAATATATACGAAGTGACAAAAATTCTTTCAAGGAAACATGCCAATTATTTCAAAAGATTCGAGGTTCTGTCAAGAATACAAATAATATTCCACTTTGGATTAATTTATTTTCCTTTGCAGATTAACTAGAGCCATTTTTTCCTTTTAATCTTAGTCATTTCCTTGCAGATAATATTGATGATTAAATAATGCTATTAATCTTTTCTTTAATATTCTGTTGTCTTTGGTACCATTTGTCCAACTATGACTTGATTAGGACAGCACTTTCCTTCATTTGACTTAATCACTGCATACCTTTTTATTTTATTTTTTTTTTAATTGATCCACTTAAATAAATCATAACATATTTGTTTTATAATATAAAATTGCCTTTAAAATTTACTTTCTCACTTATATCAAATATTCTGACTCATATTTTTGTGACAGATTATGCTATTTCCTTGCCTTTCATTTGCATAAAAGGCTTTGATTAAGTTACATAATTCTAACTTTATATGATGGCGGAGCTGGCCACATGAAGAAGGCAGGGGACTACCATCTTCGAAAAGACTTTCCTACTTGTCAAGTTGATCTCCAGTTAGTGGAGAATTGGAACCATCACTGAAGAGATATGATGACTCTTTGAAAAGGGTCCTCATCTCCTGTAGCTACAACTATCAGTGGAGAAACAGAAGCAGCTGCCAGTAAAGGGTTTATGAAACAACCTCTCTTGTTAAATTGAAGTGCAAAAGATATCACTTATGATATGCATATATTTGAATTTGAAATGTAGTATTCCAAAAATACTATACTGACAATATTCTTGATAACAACTGAGATAGTTGAAAGTACTTGAACAAAAAACAGAATAAAACCTGAAATTTGGACAGTTTATCCATGAATCTGAAAGGGTTGCATCACAACTTATTCAAAGATTCGATAAATATAATATTTAAAAAAAAACAAAAACTGACAGACTTTGTTGCTGAATTCAACATACATTATATATATATATATATATATATATATATATAAAAGCTTAAGTTTAAAATATAAAATAAACCAAAGGCTCAATGACAAAGTTGACAGAGCCTAAATATATATCTATATGAAATTTGTTGCTGCTCTTTGGGATATGCATGTTTTGTTTGACTTTTTTTATATTCTGCACCTTTTTAAATTTTGTTTATTTTTGTGATGCGTGTTTAGCATTTTAACACTTCACTAAAATTTTTTTCTTAAATTCTACTATGCATTGACTACTTTGAAAGGCTTATTAATTTCTCACTTAGAAGAGCTTTTGTAGCATTTTGCATGTAACCTGAATTGAGCATCCTAAAATAGACTTAATAGTATTAACAATATATTGATTAAATACCTTTTTTTTCTTGTTTTTTAAGCCACTGATTAGAAATTACTCCCCCCACCCAAATTACTATTATCAAGGAGGGGGCTAAACATTTCTCTGCCTAACTAAGAAACCTTTCCAAAAAACAAATTTGATATTTCATCATTTGGTCAAATATTTTGCAATGAGTTGAGCAGAGAACTTTTAACTACTGCTTCATATTATTGATCTAAGGATGAGAGGTGTTTAATTTTTATTTTTCTGCAAATGGTTCTTATGAATATAAGATTCATTCCCTGCTATTTTTTTAATGTAAAAACCAATACTTAATTATTTTATTGTTTTTACTTATGCATTCAAAGTTTGAATTTTAAGAATATCTAAGACAAAAATTTAATTTCTCTCAAAATTACAAAATATATTGTTCTAATCACTTTTATTATTACTTTTATTACAATGCTTTCTTTTATCAGAAGTATCAAATGTAAAAATGTCTATATTTTTGTATGTGCATACTGATACAAAATTAGCGTGATTTAGTTTTTTGTTGTTTTTTCACATAAGTATTTTGTCTTTTATATGATGAACTGATTTCTTAAATCAGTATTGACTTCTCAATTTAACTTCATTGAAAATATTGAATCCTGGTTTATTAGTTACTCTTAACAGTCTCATCATTTTTAAAAATAGGTTTTTCAAACTATCAACAAAACTTGCCTACTATCCCAAAATTGTAAAAACAGTAACTTTTTATTTTTTCCTATTCCTAAAATTATCCAGAATATAATCAATATGTTCAGCTTCATCATTTCTGAAGCAAAAAGCAAACCAGCCTTTCACATTTTACTGACATTATTTTCAGGAATTACAAATTGCTATTTGTGTTTTGCTGTATTTTTTTTTTTTTTGCTGACAAAAGCAAATGAAAACTTTAAGTCAGTCTTCAGAAATTCAAAGAAATATTTTCTATCATTGTGTAATTTTTGATACAGGAAAAATTATTTTATTTTTTTATATTTTTTTATTAATTTTCAATTTGTTCTTTACTTTGTCTTTTAGGTTATTCCCAACATCAATTTACCAGTAGACTTGGAAACTGTGGCTGAAAAACCCTGGTACACTCCAGAAATCAAAACTAGAGTAAGTAGTTTAGTCCAGTTTATAAAAGAGAAAATTCTCATTGAAATTTTATTCAATATATATATATATATATAAAAAACAGAGGATGTCTGTCTCTTTTCACTGAAGATCCATCTAACCGATTTTGACCAAACTTGGCACATACAATGTAAGAGATAGGTTCGTAGTGTAAAAAAAAATCAATAATCGATGAAGCCAATCAAAAATCGATCAATTCGACTTTTTTCCTACAATTTTGTACAAACTCAGTATGTAGGCTATTTACATCATGACGAGCTCAACGATAACTCATTTTTATTTATACGACACTGCGTTTAGTGAAAGACCACGAAAAACAAAAATTTGATTTCAACACAAATCGATTTTTTAAAAAAAAAAAAAGTAATAAACTTTTTAGTTTATTACTTTTTTTTTCCCTCAATTTTCAAGTAATCTAATACAAACTTCACTTAACTGTAGCCAACAATAAGTTGATTGTTTAACAGTCATTTCACTTGATAATTGAGTTCACTCATGTAGTTAAAACCAATGTAAATAGCAAAAAATAGCATTATTTTTTTATTATTATTTTTTTTTTTTTTTTTTTTTTTTTTTTTGCTGATCTTTCAACCAATTTTCATCAAACTTAACAATTGCTTTATAAATATATCCTCTTTTTACATTCCTGGTAGCACAATGCCAAACTGAATTTAAAAAACTCCAAAATAATTGTAGTCTGAAGTGGGTCTTCATCTTGCCTTTTTTACCCCTTCATGACCTCAGCTAACTTCAATTGAATAAATACAGTCTACTTCTGTTATATCAGTAACTGCATTAATTAAAAATGTTTTTTTTTTTTTTTTTTTTTTTTTTTTATGAAAAGGAGGCACGGTGGAGTAATGGATAGTGGCTCCAATTGAGGAATCTGAGGGCCAAGTTCAAATTCCAGTTGAATCCATTACATTCACTTACATGCTAATACTCTTGGGAAAGGTATGAATCCTCTTCTTCCCCCAGATATGGGTAAATAGCAGGATAGACCGGGTTCTATAGCCTTGGAGGGCAACTGGTCTACCACAGAAATGGCAACCTACTGCAGGAGCGGGGGGGTGGTCTGCCTCATCAGTTGTGTATCAAAAGATATATGATCGCCTAAGCATGTATCACGCATGGCACATAACTGATTGACTTTAAAGTAATTGAAGAAGATAGACTCTGTTACATCTAAACACGATGCTGTTTTTGTGCCATCCTAATTGAATATCTTTTCTGATTGACCAGCTGGGTATGACTGCTAGTGTACAATAAATATAAAGACATAAAAGATTAAAAATCCTTGCATATAGTGTCTTTATTTCTTTCTACTTTAAATGAAAGACTTTATTTTGTTTTCATTCAGCAGTTAAAATCATTGCATTGAGGATACACTTTTTGAAAGGCAATCTTTAGTATAATTTATAAACTAAAAAACATCTTGTAGAGGAAATTCTTGAAGTTCCAGCCTTTAAAGTTTTTATATTACTCATATTAAAACTAACAAAGCATCACTTGAAATCACCTACACTTTACAGATTAGCAAAAATGCATCAATCAGGTATTCCATTGAGACCCATTATATCAGGAAGAGGTATGCCCCACATAAACTAGACATAATTTTAACCACACTACTTGATACAATTAGATTTTCACACATGAAAATCTCATATCTTACTAATAAATTAAAAAAACATAGATATAAAAAGACAAATATATGTCCAGTTTAGGTATGAAGTTTTTGTATACATGTGTTTCTTTAAACAAATGGTTTACTTTACTCAAACCCACTTAGTGAAATCAAAAATAAGATTATCTCTCCTCACACATAAGATCATCAAAATCTGCCAATTAATTTAATCAATGCGTTTCTATTTTTGACAACAATTTTTATAAACAAAAGTTTGGTTTACCAATGAGTTCCTCTCTTTGCTTGTCTCATCTTAGAGGTTCTTTTAGTAATATTTTACCATAAAATTATTCTTATTTTAGATATGTAGATAATACTCTAATATATCCACATGATACAATTTTATCCAACCTTGTAAATAGACTTAATAGTGGTAAACTCGCAATAGATTTTTCTTTTGAAACTGAAACTAATAACACATTACCTTTCTTAGATATGCTAAATAAAACCAATGACAAACCTCCAACTAAAAGTTTGCAGAAAATCTACCAACAAGAGTGACCTCGTAAATTTATTATTCTCACCAGTGTAATTTTATTTAAGAGTAGTTAGAATCTGCAGTTCACAATATTCACAGATAGAAGAAATATATACTGAAAATATTTTTAAGAACCTCCAATATCATACAAAATCAAAAGCATTCAAAATCTACAACAAAAAAAAGATAACAATAATAAATTAGATAAAAATAAGCACATGATATTACCTACCAACTCCTTAATATATTCAAAATAATATATTCAATCTTAATAATATTAAAATAATTACAATTACAAAACTATTATGAAAATGGTCAGAACCAAGAAAGTTCATAACAATAATTCTGATGCAGACATATATAAAATAAATTGTAACAACTGTTCCTTACAATATATTGCTGAAATTTTCAGAAATTTAAACACAATATCTCTTGCATAAAAATTTATCCAATGCATTAGTTATACAGAGAAATAATTTTGAACACAATTTCTAATCTGTACTTATTAAAAAAAGAAAATAAATTGCTTAGACAAAAAGTTCTTGAAAGTCCAATTATTGATTCTTCCCAAAATATTAATTTATACCTTGGATTTTTCAAATATCTCCTTTCTTTTTTTTAAAAAAAAAAAGTCTTCTTTCTCAAGCCTACCTATACATGACCATTAAAATATTAAAAAAAAAAAAAATCAAAATACATTTATTGTCTTTCTTTGAGGAAAAAAAGAATGCATAAATCCAGATTCATTTATTTTGGTTTTATTAAAATTCTAAAAATTACTTTTTAAAACAAAAAGAATTGCCAAAAGGATTAGCAATTTTATGCTATTTTATTCCATATTACTTCTGTGTATAAATACAAACGAAATAACCACATTTCCCTCGTGCTGGCATAAACAAGTTTTCTGTTTGTTTTTGTTTTTTTTTTTTTCTTTTATTTATATTATATTTACAGACATATTTTATTTATATCTAAAATTATTATTTTTTTTTTTTTTTTTTTTTTTTTTTAAGAAATTTTTCAACCAAACACAAGCTTATTAAAACTATGTTTATTAATTTTGAAATGTTTAGCCTTTTAAATGACTTTCCAAACATTGATTATTGTATATTGAGAAATTCCAACCCCTTCACACTCCAAATTAAGAACCCCTAACCTTTATATTTGGAAACTAAGAGTAGCTTCTCTGTTTTTATTAAAACAAATATTGCTAGGATATATGAGGAGCTGCTGAAAAGTTCTTGGCCTGCCCAAGAAAAGATTACAAAAAAGATTTCTGATATTTGGTCAGGTTTTGGGATGTGGTGAGTCCAATAATTTTTAGCGCCCCTTCATACATTTAAATTTTGTTATAAATTTATTCACTATGTAATTATTTATCCCAAATATATTTCAGTACTAACATAGTACCTGTAAAAAATGAGGGTGGTTATTTACATATAGATTGGCAATTCTGTTTAGGTTCAAAGTGTAGTACCAGTACACTGTAAATAGTATTACACACAAGAAAATGATTGGCAAAATAATTGTTTCAAATTTTATAAAGTGGTAATGATTTCCTTGTCAGTTCACATATTTTAATATCTTAAATGTTTATGAATTAAAAAAAAAAACTTTTCTTATTTCTTTATAAATTGGTTAATGATAACCGTTACATTACATTAGTCTTAATGCAATTGTATTAGTTTTTAAAATGTTGTAAATATAAAATTATTCTTGTAAATAAACAATCTAATAGTGTTTAATTTTTTTGTTGTAAATTGTCAAGAACAAAAAAAAAATAATGTATGAATTCATTTTCATCATGTTTCCGTTTTATTACAATGCTAATCAACACTTAAACAATAAATATTGCCAAAGTATGAAGGTAGTTAAAATAAAAGCAATGTCATGGGAAAAACTGCCCTTTTGACACTCTTTAAAAGATCTTTTTATAACTTTGAAAAAATTCAGTTGTGTAAATCTCAACTCCAAACTATATTTCTTTTTGAACAGATCAGTAGGATATCGGATCTGCTTTACCAACTTCCAAGCCACAGTTCTGTTGTCATCACTTCAGTTGACAAAATGCTACAAGAACTTTTCACACATCGAGGTAAAGATTATTAGGTTATTTTTATTTTTGCTTTACCCATTCCATAAAAATATGATGACATATTTTGTTAAGTCCATAAGTTTTTCACATGTGAGTTTTCAATTTCTTTTACTGTTTTTGTTTTTTGGTTTTTTCCCCTTTCTTTTGGGAGGTCGGGGAGATAACTCTTGTACAGTAAAGAATTAAAAACCAAAAAAATACCTTACAAATACACTTGACATATATGCATTTTATTAATTTTTAATTAAATTTTCATAAAAAGATTGGAATATTTGTATCTGCAATTTAAAAACTAATGAAGAGAAATGTGCTAGATTTAATTTTTCTAATGGAAAGGGTTTTAAAAATTGTGTAGAAACTAAAGTCTCACTGATTCTATTAGAAGATTTGATAGTTGTTTCTTTTCATAAAACTGTCAGTATAATATTTAAAATAATAAAAATTATTTAAAATATTACATCGACAGTTTTAACGAAATTTTAATACTATTAATCTAACAAGTAGCTCAGTTAACATCTGTTAACAGTAATTTTAATTTTTAGAGCAATTATTGATTTTTTTTTTTTCTTACTCTTTTCTTATTTGAACATGACTTCAAATTGATTTAAAAAAATTTTCTAATCAAGTTTTTCATGGATAGAATTTTAAATGAAATTTTTAAAGAATTTTAAATATTCTTAACTGAGAGGTTACATGATGGAGTTTCATTTTTTAGTAGATGTGTGTCAGATATGTATGAGCTATTCAGAATATGGGTAAAACTATTTCCTCCTGTCTTCTTTTTTTGTAATCTGGGAGACATTCTCCTATAGTTGAATATTGTATAGTTAGGTTTTGAGTCTTATATTGTTTGCTACTTTCTTTTGATATATTTTTATTTTGTTTCTGAAGTCTGTATCACGTATATTTATGTTGGTTGTTGTAATTTTGAGGACATCTTTAGCTAGTTTGTCTGCTTTTACATTGCCCAGTATACCAACATACATGACTTCAAATCTAGGCTAAGATGACTGATTTTTGTGATTTAACTATATGACTATAAGTTTCTGGTATGTCTAAAATGTACAGATGTTTGGATTTGCCTTCTTTTGGAGCTACAAGACTTGAGTCTATGACTATGATAATTTTCTGATTGAGTTTTTAATAGGTTCAAGTATCATCTTAATGGCCTGTAGCTCAGTTGTAAATATGGAAGCCTCATTTGGTCGTCTAATCTGTTTGTAAGACTGTCTGTCCATAGCTGTTGCTCTCATTATATTTGAGATTTTAGGGCCATCAGTATATATGGCCCAATACTTGTTTTAGTTCAGTGAACTTGCTTCTATTTATAAAGTTTTTGTTGTGTTGAGTTAGTGTTAGGTCTATATGAGGTTTGTCAAGTGGCCATGGAGGTGACTTGGTAGTGTCAAGTAGAGCTATGGTGTTCAGGCATTTGTTTATTTGTGTGACTGCTTCTTGGATTTAGTGACCAAAGGAGGGGATGTTTGATGGCCTGATAGGTGATGAAAAATTTCAGTAATTGGAACTTGAACTTCAGTAACTGAAATTCTCATCATCTACAGTTAATAGGTTAAAATATTTTAACAATGTAACTTATACAGCAAAAATGCTTTTGTAAACTCAAACCTTTTTAAAAATTCATAAATGTTTTGACATTCTAATATTCTATTGTCTTTTCTAGGATCCGGAACATTTTTTAAGATAACAGAACCAATTCACAGCTATCACAAACTTGATGATGTTGACCAACATAGGCTTCATAATCTCCTCTTGAAGTGAGTTTTTTTTTTTTTTTAAACATTGATTTCTTATTCCAGACTATCATAAAAAAAAAAAAAATTTAATTCTTTGTGACATTAATCCAACAAAACAAAGATATAATTTGGATTTGTAAAATGTAAATATGATTTAAAGAAAAATATTTTATTCTTTATGAAGTGATTATCATTAATTCTAAAATGAAATAAGTTTAAATTTGTTTTATTTATTTTGCAAACAAGATTAGGTATCAGACCTGTCAGTTGTCCTTAAGGATTTTTGCTAGTTGCTCGAATTTAAACTACATACATATCAATATTATTTGTATTGTAAATATTGTCAGGATGTTATTTTTTTAATTGTTTTTATGTTAGTTGATAGAACTGTTATTCAATTAAGTCTTTTTTTTTTTTTTTTTTTTTTTTTAATCTACTTTGTAAAAAAAATTTTTAAATGTTTCAATTTCTAAACTTTAATTTTCTTCAGAGCTTTTGGTCGGACACTTAAAGACGGATATTTCAATATGATTCAAGAGAGACTACACACTTTGTATCTTTCTGAAGAGTAAGTAATGAAATTTTATTTCATTTATTTGCTATAATATATTTTATAACTAACTTTGATATTTATACACTGATGAAAAATAAGATTGCTTCAAAAGGATTGCAATCAAGGCACTTGTCATTGAATTGATCACAAGGTCATCTACAGTAAATCTGTGCCCAGGCTCTTACAACATTTCACGATTCCTGGCAGAACTTCTATTATCACAGTGTGAGAATATCTAACAAAAGTGATGAAAAGAAAAAGAATCTAAATTAAATCAGCTAAAAATAAAAAAAAAATTAATATTCCCAGCATCCCTTGTTAGTGCACATTTGTAATCGCACCAACATATCAAATATAGTTTGAAGTTCTAAAGGATAAAACGTGTCACAAAAAACTTTTTCCACTTTGTCCTACATTTCCCTGCCAAATATTGTTCCTGATATATAAAAATATATATCATTATCACACACACTATATATATATATATATATATATATATATATATATATATATATATATATACACACACACATACACTGAGTGTAACAGAAAAATTGTCAAATTCTTAGATTAAGCTCTGAACCATCATATCTTAGAAATGATGAAAGATATCTTACTGGAATTCTCCAAGGTTTTTATCACTATTGGACTCTACTTTCAGTAATGTATATTTACTCTCTAAGATTACCAGAAGTATTGTGATGAATTCAATCATAAACGAAAATGATGTGTTCATCATTAATTAATCATAGCTAAGGATTGGAAGCTCATGATGTATTGAAATAATATATATATATATAGATAGGTAATTGATAACATTAGTGGTAAATATACACATACATATGCAATCATATATCTAAAATATATAAATATATATATATACAGACATACATACACATACATATATGTTTGTATAAAAAAAAAAATAATTAAGAGGATAGAATCCAGGTAGAACTCGATGTCCAGGACAGAGTAAGGATATAATAAAAAGGCTTAAACACTAATATTCCATGGTCATAATTTATTCCATTGGAATCGTAAATACGATCCAATTCATCAGACCTACAAATTCAAAAAGAAAACAGAAAAAACAACTCCAGGAATAAAAAATAAAATTTAGTGATAGTGTATGTATGAGAGTGTGGGACGAATGTTAGAGTAAATGAAAGCTATAGGGAGGGGTAACCATAGATGCTCTTTTAAATATAGATACCTCAGAAATCAAACTTCCTTATCCAAACACTACTGGGATCTGGTGGATAAGGGACTAACCCCACTTTTCGAATGGAGATACTTATCAAGAGCTAGAACCCCTAATAACTTCCGCGATCGGTGTGATCTGTGCATGGCAGAAAAAATTTTTATTATTAAAGATAAGAAACAAGATGAGTTACTAAATATTCATAGTGAGATATTTTCTAAATGTAGACATAAGAAACGATTCAAAACCTGAACACCGTTTTGTAACGTGTTGTCACTTATGTCAGTTCCATCTTGGTTCAATAACATCGGGCATGACATTTTAATGGAATGACTATTATGTTTATTATGTTTATCTATATATATCATTGTGTATGTTTGTGATGCGCTATGTATTTAAAATTTTTTCTCTTAATTTTACATTTTGATTTATATATGGATATGTATATGTGCGTACATGTGTGTGTCTGTGTATATATGTAGGGGTATGTATATATGTATGCGTATATGGATGTATGTATATGTAGGTAGATGTGTTTATATGTGTGTGTGTATGTTTTGGTATGTATGTATTCTTATATATCTGTATATGGGTATATATGTATGTATGTATAGTTAGACGGATAGATAAAGGGATACATTGTTTATTTGTTTAGATGGGTGTATGTAATTGTATGGAGATGTAAGGTTTTATGTATATATGTTTATGTGCACGTATGTGTATGTCCGTATGTATATATATGTGTAAATATATATATATATATATAAAAATATGTTGTGTATGTGTGTATACGCATGTGTTTTTGAACATAGAAATATAGGTCATTGCTAGATTAGATAATCATTATCTTTGGGGTTTTTTTTTATAATTTTATATTTGTAACCTATAGTCGATATTAATTTTGTCAAATTTTCTTAATTACACATCGGTTCTTTTATAAATGCCCTTCAGTTTTAGTTCCGGAGTTGTTTTTTCTGTTTTCTTTTTGAATTTGTAGGTCTGATGAATTGGATCGTATTTACGATTCCAATGGAATTCCAACTTATTCAAGATGATCTTCTCCCTCTCTAACCTAACTTTCTGTCCTGGAGTAATAAGGTGCCTTACACATTTCATGTATGATTTTATTTTAAAGTTTTTTTTCACTTCTCTTTGGAATATTATAGATGAAACTCCTCTTTCACATGCCAAACGTCTTATGAATTGAGTTGGATCTTTTCTAATTGATCTCTTTAGCTCTAAGTTGAAATGATGGTCCCTCTTCCTGTTGTGGACTCCTGGTATAGTGTTCCTCTCTACTGTTCCCTCTTTTTTAAACATATTCATCACCGTTCCCTTAATGGTTCTTGAATGAACTTTGAAGATGGAAGCCAGAGTATGAATGTTAGTACCATTACTGATGATCTGAATAATCTTTTTCCTTTAGCATTGCTCAGATGGGAAGACAGTGGGGCTGACACAAAATGATTTTAACCTGCTCCCTTTTTAGCTGAATAACTCAAAGGGATTGTTATGATAAATGATGTTAAGATGGCTAAACATCTTATCTGAAAACCTGGATAAAAGAAACTAAATTGTGTGATGTTACACAGTTTGGACAATTTTACTGTTACACTGTATGTATGTATGTATATATATATATATATATATATATATATATATATATATGATATTTATCAGTCAGTCACAATGCTAGTAATCCCACACTGAATAACTGGGAATGTCATTACAATATGGAAGAGTGTATAACAACTCGTAAACAGAATTACCACAAAGATATAGCAATTTATGCTTTTTTGCAAAAAATTATCAGTACTGTTTGTCTTAAAAGATTTGAAAATATACTTTTTAACTTTCTTTTTTTTTTTTGTCTTAAAAGAATTGAATATATATATTATTCAAAAATTATAACATCACGAAAAAAAACATTCAACATTTCTGGTGTTTTATCAAGTAATGGTGTTGATTGCAAAATAAACAGTTTTTGAAAATTGAGAACCAAATCAAAACCCCTCAATAGGGGGAAACCTTGTTATGTAACTTATGATGACCAATCAGAATACAAGTCTATGAAAATTCAAAAAAACCTGACAATGTATTCTAAATACACACCATTAGTTGATCAAAATTAATGCTAGATTAAACTAGAAATCAATATGAAATAATTAAGTTTTAATTTCACAGTAAAATATAAAAATTTTAAATTCTATATTAAACTGAGCACTAGGCTTAAAATATTACTAAGTTATTCAAAAATGGAATGAAGGATAAGAAAATATGTGTGCCTTAAGATTGTGTCGATATGCAAGTAACATATTGGTTCAAATTTTGGTAGCTTTTTACATTCACTTCACACTAATCCTTGGGAAAGGCATGAATCTATCTTCCCAACACCTATGGATTAAACAACTGAAGAGTCTAGCCTCTAGGACTTGCAATCCCGAATTCAAAATCATAGAGGAAGATATTGGAAAATGCTCCACTTTTTTTCTTAATAGTTTTAATTCACAGATTTTTTTATATGAAAAAAGGAAGCTGTGAAGGGCCACAATATAAAAAAAAAGCCTCTGACTTTTTTGATAAAATGAAAAATAGTATTCCTTCATAATGAAATTTTCACATTAGCATCATCATAGTTTCTGCATTTTTTTTTTTTTTTTTTTTTTTTTTTTTTTAAGGTTTGATCATATTTTTACATTGCAGTTACAGTGCAGCGGCTATTATTCTGAGTGAAGAAAATATCGATGTACCTTACCTTGACAAATTTGCTGTTTCCCAAAAAGCACAGGTAATGCTTATTTCTTTTTTGTTTAAACTTGCAGTGCATATATATATATATATATATATATATAATATATATATATATATATATATATATATATATATATATATATATATGTGTGTGTGTGTGTGTAGAGAGAGAGAGAAAATGTCCGTTTTTTTTTGTTTTTTTTTTAAACAGCTACCAAATTATTCTGGCAACAAAATGACACTATTTTTTATTCTGCAATTTTTGCCATTTCAGGGTGAAGGCACCGGAGAGATGTTGTGGGCTTGTGTCAGACAAGACTTTAAACAGCTTTTCTGGAGATCAAGGGGAGATAACCCTATAAATCCTTGGTTAGTATGAAAAAAGAAATTATTTTAATTTCTTTTCTTTTATATACTAATATTCAGCCAATAAAAGGCTCAAGAGGCACTCAAGCTACTTATTAAGAATTGACTTAGATGTTGGTAATTCATAAATACATTCTATAAATGAAAGACAGAATTCAACATATTATTTATATTAGAAGAAATATTAATGTTTTTATTCATATTTAAAATGCAAAGGAAATGGAAGTGATTAAACTAAATATTAACTTTTTACTTGGAATACAGAGGAAATGAAAGTAATTAAAGTAAAATGGTATAACCCCATCTCTCATATCTTTTGTTTTTCCCAGTTTCAGTGTTACCAAAAACACAGTGTTCTTGGCCAATTTATTTGTATGGTCATCGCATGTTGACATCAGCATGCTGGGAGGTAACCAGATTTTACAGAGATTTTGGCCAGTGATCATGATTCCCACTGAGAATTCAAGTATAAATCTCACCAGGCCATGGTAACCTCTTTGTCTCTGCTGAAAACCAATTTCACAGAACAAACCAACAAACTTTGTTGATAACTAACAACAGATTTAATGAAAACAAATTGAAGAAATTAAAAGTACATAATGAGTAAGGAATTAATACTTTATGTTGCCTGGTTGACAATTTTTTCACAGAAAAATTATTCTAGCTCTAGTTTATAATAATTAAGGGACCTGGCACTGTATTCTTGTCAATTCTTTGTGTCTGTGTTTTTGTTAGTGGTAAAAGCAGTAACAGTGAGGTGAGAACGGTCTATAAACAAATCTCTTCTAATCTTGTCTTTTCTATGTCCATCTCTCACTCATCTCATTCATATAAGGAAGTTTGTACCTGTTTGATATTGATTTATTGTATCTTTCATTAAGATATTCATATGACTTTCAGTAACATATAACCTTTTTGGAAGGTGGTTAGGCTGAACCCCTAGCCTTAATTTTGGTAACGATGTGAACATTTTGAAGACTAATAGTATATTGTATAAACATAACAAGAATTCTTCCATGGAATTTGAGAAATATTGCCTGGAGGCAACTGAGTAGGTTGGAGATCTAGTTTTACTAAATCTTGATCAATTCTACTTGGTTTATTTCAGGTTCAAAAATTCTAGTACCTTCTACAAACTCTTTTTATAGCTTTTAATTATTTTTAATCTGTTCTTTCTTTAGACTTACTTTCCATGAGTTTTTTCATTGTTTAATCTGAACTATTTCCTGTTTTAAATAATCATTAGGCATGAACCAGGGTTACAGCCCTGTTATAATGGCATGTTCTAGTTGTATAGGTCTGGTGGAACTAAACAATGTAGTTCATCTGAATATCAGTTGTACTGCAATTAGTGAACAAAAAAACAGAAAAAATAAAGTTTATTTACTCGAGTTTTCAACTTTTATTTTATTTTTTTTTTTTTTGCAATGCTGATATTTAATTTATTATCACCTGTTTTCAGGTACTTCAAGAAATCTGAAGGAAGTTGGAGCAATGGAAAATGGACAGTTTTTTGGTAAAGCTTTTTTTTTTCTTTCATTTATTCTTCTGCTGAGTCTATTTTTGCTACTTTTTACTTTTGATATTTGTTCAGTTAGATCTCTTTTGTATTTTGTTAAGCCTATTTTCTTTCCAATTCTATAAATGATGCTAAATTAAAAACTGTAATGCATCCAAGAATAAAATTTACCAGTTATTATCATTTTAGACTAGGTACAAATTTAGGTTTATTTCTAAGAAAAATCCTGCAATATTGCATGCAGTACATATTGTAATTTATTTATGGTACAATTCTTGTGTGTGTGTACACATATACATTGGTCATACGTACACTATTGTTATAGTAGTAGTATGAGGCGGCATCTGTTTATTTTGCTGTTTAGTCAAAATTCTGTCCTTTGGTTGTGAAACTAGAGGAACTTTCAGGGTGCAGATTGTGGAGGTCACTCTAGTTATGGTATGTAAGGTATTAATGGATACTACACAAAAGCAAAAATGTTTTGTTACCATAACAATGGAATATCTAGTTACCGAGTCTAGAGACAGTTACTATTACATATCTTTTATTATTTGTTTCCTATAAGCTATTATTTGGATATCTTTACTTTTTGATGATTTTAAAAAGTTAACTTCTGTGATTGTTTCTTCAACTGGGAGTTGTAGTCACAGTTTGTATATTTGAATTATTGAATATTTCTTTTTTTTTTTTTTTTTTTTTTTTTTTTTTTTTTAAATCATTTAACTCAAAAGCCACTAAGAAACAAGAGGTTACTGGGTGGGGAAAAAACATTAAAAAAAAACCGATAAAGAACAATAAAAGAACAGAAATTAAGAAGACAAGATAACGATTGACATTGCATTTAAATTTTTGACAATCAAATTTGACCAAAAAGCAAGAAGCCAGAAGAGAGTTCAAGAAGCGAGAAGTGTAAGAGAAGAAACTTAGCATGAAACTTACAATTACATCTAGTAAAATGATAAGACCTTGCTACCAGTGCACTTGAATAGAAAGTAAAGTCACTAGTCCTGTATTAATCAACAAACATAAAACCTAACATGTATAATGCTTTTCTATGTCAAAAATTTTTACTTTAATATTCAGGAAGTATACGAATAAAAAAAAAAAAAAGGAAAGATTTTGACATTTTATGAGTACTAGAAACTTTGTAATAACCAGCCTCTTGACAATAGCTATGTGAATAGGGGGTTTTGTAGGGATCTTAGAGGTAGTCACAAAATTGCACACTCATTTCATGTTATCATGAGCAACTAGAACTGTGTTATACCGCCTCCACATCTACCTCTAGTGTGTTAGGGTTAACACCACTGCCTTATGCTGGACATAGTAATCAAACCCTGTTTCACTATGTGGCCTCTCCTGATTTGAATCTCTTGGGTGTTGTTGAGGTGGAGACCATCCAGCATTCCCAAAATAGCAAAAACTCATTGATGGCTGCCATTATCAATCATTGCTTTTGTTACAATGATATTCACCTTGTACAACATCCAAGAACCACTTGAGGTAGATAGTTACAGAGTAAAAGGTACAATTTATGGGGATATGTGGGGAAGATAACATTTAACCCTAGTCTTGAACATGATTAAGATTGCAGTGATTAGGGAAGCATCCTCTTGGGAGTCAGTTTCACAAAGGGAAGAAGCTGCTCATGTGGAACTTACATCTCACCAATGGAATGCAAAGGAAATGAGGGTGGTTTGCTGCAATGTGCACAACATGGCAGGTCTTAGCTGTGAAGGTTAGGACTGGTGGAACTAAGGAATATAGTTCATCTGCATACTTCCCATGGAGCAGCAAGAGGCAGGATTACTGGAATGGTACAGGGAACCAAACTTTATTCCAGTATCTTTAGTGATGGTCTGGGTTGAGCCTAAGTCCCAACAGCAACCAAGGCATGGGGCCACCCTGAGAGAAGAATAAGCAAAAATTTGCCCATCTCAATGTGAAAAGGCATTTTTAGTTATGTTGAATATGCATACATATCTTTTGGAAAATATATTTATATTCTTTTTATCTATTGAATATCTGTTTATATTTTTATATTATAATTTCTAAATTACCTGAAGCACCCTGTTTATGTATGTAAGTATGTGTATGTGTGTTAATGAGGGATTTATCTATATCAGTTTTATGTAAAAAAAAAAAAATTTTCTTTATTTTCTCCTTTTCTCCTATTCTCCTTTTCTCCTATTCTCCTTTTCTCCTATTCTCCTTTTTCTTACATATGGATATTCGCCATTTAATTTAAATTATTTAGCACTTAAACACATTTGAAATCATTTTTCAATTCTTGTCTTGATTCTATAAATTATATTTTCTTTCTTTGCAGGTATGGCATACAATATCACAACACATCATCACATTTAATTGATTCAGCCCTGGCAAAGGATAACTCTTTCACCTCATAGAGTGAACACACAGAATTGTTATTGAAAATACATATAAATCTCAGATTTCTGTCTCAAACATGTTCTCAGAAAACTTTAAAAATAAAAATCCAACATTCTGGCACAAAATGTTTGGAAAGGAACAATTAAGCCCTCATTTATTCATTTGTAAGAAGCAAATTGTGTGTGAGTGTGTGTGTCTGTCTGAGTATGCATGCATGTTCATCCAGATTTTTAATTCTTGACCTAGCTGTTAAAATGCTGCAGATTTTGAATGATTTATTTTATTTAAAAAATTTGGCATTCAAATTCTGCCATTTCAAAATGATTTGTTCCCCCTCTGCATATCCAAATGATTCGAAAGTATTTTGTGCCAAATTATCAGCCACATTTTGGTAACTGTTTGATGACACGATGTGATTGTAATATGTATATAGCATCAGCATGTGTTACTTTTGTTTTATTTTCCTAATATATATATATATATATATATATATATATATATATGTCTGTATGTGTGTACATAGCAACTCATCAAACCTGTTGGGGACTTTTCCTTTAAGAATTAAAAACAAATTGGGGAAAATCATGTTATAGGACTTATTTTCTATTCATAGAAGATTTCTAAAATTCTTGTATGTTTATAGAACTTATTTTTCTAATAATATCGATGTAAATTTTGTTACCCTTTTAGATGAATTGCAATTGTTTTATGATGTTTTTATTTTCCCATTTGTTTTATTTTCAATTAATGCAAGTGGCTTTGAATTCTTTTGTTTTTTTTCTCAGAAAAAAACTTATTCTTAAAATACCTATTCTGCAAAATGAACTTCCTTTCTTCAAAGACAATTTCAAGTTGTTTAGAAAATTTTGTATCTATGATGAAATTACTTTTAAAATGTTGTTCTGGATTTTGTGAAAAACAAAAAGAAATCCTTGACATGGCAGCAATAGATTTTTGGACATTTTTCTTACACCAATTAGTTTTTCATTTAATACTTACACATGTAATTTTTAGTTATGTGCCACTTTTTTCCTGTCCCCTTATTTCAACTCTCATTTCCGGGCATTCATTTTAATTTTTATTGTCTGCACATTGTGCTGATAATAATGCCTGGAAATACTCCAAGAAAGAAAGAAATATTCTCCTTGCCTCTGAATAAGATTCATGCTCCAAACATTCTAATGTGATGATGTCAGTGTTAGCTGCCTTCACTTCTGAATTTTCTATTTTGGTAGAAAACAGAAAGTTTCTTCTTTTATAAGACTTTCATTTAAAAAAAAAAAAAAAATGAGAAAAATCTGCGACAAATGCTTTAAAGAATTATTAAATATTACCAAAACAAAGAACGAGATGAGTTTGCAGTCTATACTATTTTTTAGTTTTTACTCAGGTAGGTAATATTTTTTCTCATCTATACTTCTCGTTCCACTCTCTCTCCAGTTGTTGTTTTGTAAACTCTGTGATAATATATAATTTTGTCATGTTCAGCTTCCTTAGGAGAAACATGAAATATATTTATCTTCAACTCTTAAACAGACTCTGTAGATTAGTCTTCTAAAATCCTGACCTCAGAAATCATACACTCTGTAAAAACAAACAAAAAAAAAAAGTCAAATTACATTTGTATCATTTGTATAAAGTGTGCATTCTGTAAGCAGGTACTGAAAAGTTCTTGGCATCAAACATCAGAATAATAATTTTGGGAAATGATTTGGGCCAAGAATTTTTCAGTACCCTCTCATATTAGTACCTATATGTTTGTACAAAATTGCAGGACCTCAGTACTAGAAAACTCCATAATTTATGGAGGACAGTGATGGTGACAATAATATATTTGTTTAGGATAGACGTGCAACCTGGTTTTAAAAAAAAAAAAAAAAAAAAACATGAAATAAATAAAAAGGCCAATTACAAATATTCTCATGAAATAAATTTGTTATAATTTTGTATTGATTTGTGGCAACTTTTATACACATACACATATATATATATATATATATATATATATATATATATATATATATATATATATATATATGTGTGTGTGTGTGCATAGATTCTTGCCTCTTAGTTGGGACCTTCCCAATATTATTTAATTTTTTCCCGGTGAAGTTTTATTTATTTATAGATAATTTTTTTTTTTTAATTAACAAATAGTGTTTGATGGTAGCTTCACTTACTTTTTGTAGTTATGTGAAGAAATTGATAATTTACCCCTCCCACTTGTTGTTTATTAGGACAATCCGTCCTTTCCCTACAAGAACTTTATACTTTCCACAATCTCAGTTTTAAACTTTGTAAGTGTCAAATTTTTTTTTTCTCATATTTTTAGGCTAAAGAAAGTTTGTTTACAAAATATATGTAATTTAAATATTTGTAGGATGGCATTTAGTATAACCAGACATTAGATGAGGCACTGGAAATATAAAACTATTTCAAAGTATTTTAGGTTTAGTTTGTACTGGTAGTATAGAATTAAATGTTAAAAAAAAATTGGATTTAACTCTAAATACTTGTATTTAATATTGTTATAAGTATGACTATATTCATTATAGACATTCATAAATTGTATTCTGTAAACTCACAGCAAAATATCAGAATCTGTGACCAATTGTTTTTCAGAATATTTTTAGGTCATCTTAGTATTTTTTGACGTATATATTACTATTTTATTTATTTTAGATTACTTCATGCAGGTATCAAGAAAATACAATTGTCTTTTTGTTGTTGCTTTTCATTTATTCCTCGATGACAAATGGTAGATTAGACCCTGTCAAATTTTAAAATAATTCTATGTAGTAAGTTTTTTTTTGTTACCTATGTAATCACATATTTTTCATAATTTAGTTTGAGGTAGTTTAGAATTTATTAAACTATGATTGCCTTGTGTTTACTTAAATTAATGCATAAAAAAAAATCCAAAAATACATTCTGAAAAATATTTAAAATCGTTGAAACTCTTAATATTGCGGTGTTTTATGTTGTTAACTCATAAAAGATATCTAATGTCATTCTCTCCTGAAAGATGATCTTTGTGGTGCCTTGTTCCATTTGAGATGCTTTATCTCTGGAGAAAAAGAACTTTGGTTTTAAAGAGTATGGTTTCTTTGGGGATAAGAAACATTAATACAAAATGTCTCTTCTTGAAATGTAAATGGTAATAACTTGAAATTACAGAATTATAAGGGATGCAAGCAGAGACAACAAAATTGCTTACCATTTTCTTTTCTTTTTTTTTTTTATCAAAAGTTCCTTAGATAAATTTCCTTTTTTAGTTTTACTTGAACAAAAAAAATGGTTTCTGTTCAGATTTATTTTTGTTTTTAGTTTTCTTTTGAAGTGGTGCTGGTTATTTTGTCCATTTTCTCATGACTTGAGATAATCGTTTATTTGTAAAAATAAAAAAAAATAATCATGAGAAAAGTTCATTAGGTAAAATGAGACAAAATTAAAAATAATTTGGAAAAAAAAAAAAACCTTTGCAAAATTAATTCAGTTGCTGGAAAGACTGAATAATGAACAGATGTTGTCATTGGTAAAATTTCAAGTTTAAAGTATGAGGATTGATTGACAAGCATAGTCTGCTACCATTGTGGTGTCACTAATATAGGAGATAAAAACACACACACACACACACACACACATATATATATATATATATATATATATATATATATATATGTGTGTGTGTGTTTCTAAAAAAAATCTCTTTTCTGGTCTTATACTGCAGATGCACTGAGTACACAACAAAGCTTCATTGTTTTAACACCTAAATTTTGATTGACATACAAATTTCTAATGCCCAAAATTCTATCACTAATCATGTTTTATAGATAACTCAGACACAGCAGTCTTGAACAAACACTATTACTCAATGTTATAGAATTTTGGGCATTAGAAATTTGTATGTCAATCAAAATTTAGGTGTTAAAACAATGAAGCTTTATTGTGTACTCAGTGCATCTGCAGAATAAGACCAAAAAAGAGATATTTTTTTATATAATGTCTCAATGCCAAACTGTATTGCGGTCAACTAAATAGTGAGAAGCCTGAGCTTCACTGTTGTTGCACATTTCTCATATGATCATCGGATTCCATGTAGTTCCAGAATTAAAGAAGGTGATGATGAAAAGGTTGAGTTTTTCATCCAATTCCAAAGTTGAATTTGCTGTGTGCAATTAAATCAAAAGTAAAGCAGGATGTTTCTTCGTAACAATTAAAAAAAAAAAAAAAAAAAAAAAAAAACGTAAATAGAATATTTGAAATAAGGTGTAGCACTAAATTCTGACTCTGTTGATAAATAATCTTGAAAAGGAAAAATATTTAATTTTTATACCAGTTTCATTAATCTGTTTGGTTTTTATAGAATTGGAGACCTTATCAATCAGTCCTCATAAATCTTGAAGGAAAATGATTATGAAAAGCAAAATATTCCCTTGATTATTAAATGAACATTTTAACATAACTAAATAGTTATAAAGCTTTCACATTTACATGAATGTACTTTCATATATTAACAAAGACGATCCCCACTAAATTTAATTTTAATAGAAATAAATTATTAAATTCTTAAAATTATGAAAGTGGCAAGTTGTTCACATCATTATCCTGGTCATCAAAAATATAAGTGTCATGTAAATATTTGTCCCTGAATCATTTTAGTAATCAACCCTCGATTTGTGAATTCATTTGATAATTTATTCGCGTATTGTTTTTGGAAAACGTCTAAAGTTGTTGGCAGTTTAATAAACACATAAATAATATAAAATATTTCAGATTACATATCAAAAGGGATTCTAATCTGTTTTGGTTTCAAAACTAAAAAAGAAAAAAGCATTTGATATGATCTTTTCCTTTTGGTTTTATTGACTTTATTTGTTTTTTTGATTGTCTCAATTTCATCTTCAGGGAATTCAATTAATATTTAGCATTATTCTCTTTACAGTAATTTTCTCATTTAGATATTTAAAATGAAGTATCAACTGATATTTCAGTAGATTTTAGCATGAATTTCTTT